CAGACAACTGGACGACCTCATTACAACACGTTCCACCTGTAACCCATGCAACTGTTGAATAGTTTTCAAGCAGGCTAATGACAAAGTCATTTGACTGAGGGCTACGCTTTTTCCACGACGAAAAAATTTCAGACGTCGGGAAAACCAATGCAACTGAAGTTGCTGCCCAACCATGATATGTTTTTAGTAGAAGGACACACTAGGCCAGCTAAGGGTATTTGCCAAGGAAAAGGTGTATACTCTTGCTCCTTGCTACTCAATAAGGGGACTGGCAAAATCATTGCCGCAAAGGATAAGTCTTCCACCGGTAGAAAACGTGGTTTTTGTAAACATATTGCGGCCTTGGCATATAAGCTGGTCGAGGCAAAAATGTCTGGAGCCACAGAGCTACCAAAGCCTATCAGCTGCACTGATGTGTGCCAACAGTGGGGAGTGCCAACTGTAAAAGCCCATCACGACCCTGAAAAAGAAGTAATGAAACGGAAACTGTTACAGGATATTGTATTTCAGAAACACATCTTAACGCGAGATAATATAAGGAGAAAGCGCAAGTTGCCTCGAGAAATACGTAGAAACTATAATTCAAGATCTTCAGGTAAACCACCAGTAGACCACCAACACGTTTAAATACTGCGAGAAGAGCTTTCCAAATCTAAATACCAGTGCTTTGCTTCTAAGTGCCTCTTTCTTCGTCCCAAAGAGGTTCCTAGTACTGGTCCATCAAATATGTCGTATGGAAAAGAGAACACAGCAACTCTGAAGCAGAGATCAGAGATCAAAGATTTTGTTCAGTGAGCGAGTTGGAAAGGTCACCTCTTCGATTGGACTGCAAGGAAAGAAAGAGTTTATGGAAACTGGGGACTGTGTTCTCAACAAAAAAGAACAGCCCAGTGAGAACTTTAGAAACTTGCAAAGAGGAATTGTTTTCGAATCTTGTGCTGTTGAATGCTTCCAGATTGATAGTAGTGCTGAGGTGAGGGTGTGGATTGTTTTTCCTTGAACGGGATAGATGGTTTGGAGCATCACCTGATCGGATCTTCCAGGGAGGGACATGTCTGGGTTTAATGGATATGAACAATGGGACTTTGTTTACTGCAGGTAAAGAAACGCGCAGAGGAGAAAACAGAGCCACTGGATGTTGTTACTGGGGGTCACCTGTGTCAGGTCCAGCTTCAGCTGGAGTACACATAGAGCAATTCCTGCATTCTGCAATGTTTTGTTCCGTAGTCAAGAAAATCTAGGTATCTTTTAATAAGAAAAAATTATACTTTTGTTTGTTGGTTAATTCAGGTTTTGGCCGTTTGTCGGTCGACTGTTGGTTGACTGTCGGCCAACTGTTGGTCAACAAACGTCCAACTGTGGGCCGACAGTTTTAGTCAAAAGTGTTGGCCGACCGTCGACCAACAAACGGCCAACAGTCGGCCAACTGTTGGTGACCTGTCGGTGAAGTGTCGGTAACTTGTCGGCTACAACGTGTCGTAAACTTTACCTTATTTATCCATAAAAGTGAATTGAAAAGATACGCTGCATACTGTATGGGAAACTTTAGTATGTACATTTGTTGTAGAAACCAATCCTAGCCCAAACACCACCAACAACAGCAAAATTTTCAACGTGTTACCTACAATCTCGCTTCGAGTTATTTGTCCGCCACTTTGAAATGTGTACCTAAGTCCCAGTCCCCCTCCACTTAACTAGTAGGCGTTATTGGGCGATTTGTACATGATGTTCATTGTCAAAAACAATTCATCAACCAGAGACATCTTTTAAGGTCTTCCTCCAGATACAATATGAGGGATCTTTGGATATAGTTTCATAACTGTTGTTGCAATTCAGTGTAAAGCCCGGTCCTGGTCTTAGGAAATTGTACAAAGCAATCAAGGTCTGGTAGTCAGGTAATCCTGCATAAAATCTCATGTCCGCGTCAGAAGCCATAAACCTTGTAGCTCCAAACCTTTCCAGTTCTCTTACACACTTTTGATACACGGTAGATCTCCTTCTGGCATTCGCACTGCCGTTTTTGTTTTCTTTTGTTTTCTGACCTTGAATTTCAGGTGCTGTTTTCGCCACAGGACCAACTCTGCCGAACACTCGTTAGTAGGGAGCTTAAGATCCATCGACGGCAAACATCTGGGACGGTAAGCGGAAGTGAAGTTACCGCCAGAAATACTTCCGTTTGCCGTTGTTGTGAGGTTTCCCGCCGTAGTAGCCTTGTCTGTGACGTGAAGAAAGCCATTTTGCCGTCGTGGCTAAAACGTGAGTAAACCTTAGCAAAATAACACCATTTTAACTTACTTTGGGTGAAAATTGTTGCCAAATTTAACAGTTTATTATTATGAGAGGATGTCTGCGAAATGGCTGGGCAAAAATAAACGATTTGTTCATGGAAATTTTAAATAATTCGTTTGCTTTTCTCACAAATAGTTCGTCACTAAAACTAGCTCGATGTCAATCAAGCAACCCAGTAAGTTTTACAATCTCACCATTTCTCTTTATTTCAATGGAAACTAGTTCGGACATAAATTGATGGCCATGATATTATTCCAGGAGTCTTTTCTGGAGTCTAACTGACCACCGTGAACTATGGTTCATCTGAGAAAATTTTCATAGTCAACAGTTTCAGTAATGTTTTTCAGCCATAAAAGACATCCTTGATTAAGCATGAAAAGTTTGCTTCAGGAAATTGGTTTAACATTTATCATCATGATAAGATTATACCAGTATTATGCTGCTTTGCATACATGTCTATGCTGTGATTCAGACTTTACCTGTGTTTTAAAAAGGTCACTTGCGAGTAGCAACGAGGGTACGCTAATCTTCTCAACAAAAGAGAAGGGCATTCAATTCCATCGCACAGAGTCCCTTGTTCACATGTATACGAATAAGTAGCCCCATCGTTCGGTAACGAATTTCTGCCAAGCACTCACTTCCGTCAAGTCCTTCTTAGTCAAAATGTTTCAATTCTGGTAGGGATAATCGAGATTAATTGAAATGCTGGCATCATTCAACAGTAAAAATTCATCTTCTGAATGTCACCATCAGCGAGGCTTTCGATCAACAATCCACGAACCTTTCCATAGGTAGCCATTGCTTTTCCTAAACTTCGAAGAGGAAAGCGAGTCAAGCTGCCATCATGCGCTTTATCTTAAGGCTATTTTTCGTGCAATTGCAACAGCGATCTCTTGTTGGAAACTGTAAATTACAGTTATTAATCTTAAACATAAGTGATTTCGTTTATCTATTACATAACCAAACCGCATGTATCCAGCACGTGTCTTATCGCCCCATATATGGTGCTGTTCCACGTGCTTACAAGGAGACGTGGTGTGAGTTTTCGTGAGAGTTGTGAGAGGGAGTTAACTGGAGTGTAATAGCAAAATCGAACCAAGAAAATAAATCGTGAGTACGCTAGCTTTTGCACGTTTTTGACATAGTGGCGACCCCACCAGGACAGCGTTGGAAATCATGGAGAAACAGATTGCAGAACTTGAGGGCAAATTGAAGACGTTGAATTTTTGCTTGAAGAAGACACAAGATGTCTTAACGAGAGACGACTGAACGGCCTTTGAGAGGCACAAAGTTTCCGTTGAAGCCCTAGTGACTATGGTAGTGAAGTTGAAGGATTCCATTGAGGAACAAAAGTTCCGAACGGCGAAGACGACGAAGCGGTGCAAAAATGGGCCAACGAAATTGAGCAAGTCATTAACGAAGGAGACGCCTGTATACGCGAAATGGAAGAACGAATTGAGCAAATCGATCGTAATCTGAAACACACAACCGTGCTCTATGAGCACAAGAGAGAAGTCGAACTAGAGAAAGAGAAAATGGTGCAACAACAAGAAGCTATTAATCGAGCACATGCGGAGGAATTGGAATTTGAGAAGAAGCTGGAGCTCAAACAAGCTCAAAAGGAACCGCCGGAAACTATGCACGAGTAAATGGCTAGCAACATGGTGAGAATGCCCAAGCTCGTGATTTGATTTGACAGGAAGTCGCAAGATTGGCTGCGTTTTTGGGACAGTTTCAAAGTCAAATTGATGATTCCAGTGCCCCTGAAGTCACAAAGTTCTCTTACTTGAAAGAATATAGTGAATATGAAGGTGCGAAATCCCATCAACGGTCTTCCGTTTACGTCTGAAGGTTACCAAAAAGCTAAAGATTTACTCACAAGAAGATATGGGAAAGCAAGTGAAGTCGTGGGAACTTACGTAAGGAATATTTTGGAACTACCCACCATGCGCAAGAGAAACGTAAAGAAGATACACGAATTTTATGAAGTACTACTGTTTAATGTAGAGTCATTGCGAACATTGAAGAGCTTATCCAAATTGGACGCCGCGGTTCGATTTACATTCGACAAACTTGAGGTGATAAAGAATGAACTTGCTATGATAGATGAAAATTGGTGTGAATGGACTTTTGTAGCATTCTTAGAGGCGTTGGAGAAGTGGACGACTAATAATCCCATTTCAGATGAACCGACATCAAAGAGTTCAAATTTCTGTCGAGATCAGTCCAGAGCTTTTCTTGCCAAACAACAAGAAACCGGATTGGTCAGCTCCCG